TTGTATATATATATCTGCATAGGTTTATCTGGTAGTCTGGTCTAGTTCCTACTTATTAATAAGAGGGAATAGCAGGCACCTCAAGGTCAACATGTGTGCTTCCATGAAATTAAAAATTAATCTGAGGATACTTCTGTCATTTCAAAGCTTTTACAGCTATTCATTTCATTACATAGCTTAACACGTGGATTCCAATTTTAACGCGTGGAACCAGCGCTGCTTTCTCAGCTAAATCTCGAACAACCGTGGAGAGGTAACGCCATCTCCAACTAACAAAATTCCAGAACGTCTGCTCTCACCGTCTTTCCTCTTACCATAAAGTGAAAACTTGTGTATATTTCATTAATTTTTAAAGTTAGCAGAATTTTGTATTATGGTTATTCATAATCAACTAATAGAGAAGCATGTTCAGTGATCACATAAGAAGTACAAAAATCTCCATAAGTTATCGCCTTCGCTTTCCGTGCGTTGTTATCTCATAAACAGCATAGTCAATCAATTTTAACTACGTCTTGCTGTACTGAAGCACATAAAAATTTCTTACAGCACAAAAGATAGATGAAAATACGTAACTGCCCTCATGTCGGCATGGGTGTTTTCACTTTTCACAAGGTAGCACCCTTCACGTCAATACCATACTGCTTTAACAATTTTGTACACGGATACCACATTCAGCTACAAATGAGAAGCAACAATTGACCTAGCTGTCTATTCCTAAGCAAGATTCATCTACAAATGAGAAGCACAATTAATAACCAATAGAACATGAAAACTAAACGGAATAAAACTCATCAGAACTCAGAAGAGGTCACTTATAAACTGAAATCAAACTGAAATTCTTTTGAAACTAACCGAGAAGCTAAAGCCAAAAATAGGAGAAAGAATAACATATTTTGGATTTAATGATGAGAAAGCAAGAAATTGAAATCCACTAGTAGAAATTTAAAGCGGAGTTAGGGCTCAGATTTGGTAGTGTTTGGAGATGGAGACCCAGATCTTCACATAAATCTATCATTTTGTTAGCAAATAAAAAGAAAAGGAAGTACAATAACAGAGAAAATCTCACCAGAAGTATTGTTATTGACCAAGAAAGAATCCGCGGAGAGAAATCGAGAACTGAAGGAGAAGATATGCTGATGGTATTTGAGATAGCGAAAAGATGATGGAGCCGGATGAAATTCCATGGAGAAGAAGTAGAAATATCTGTAGGTGTGTTGTTATCTCAAATGGCTTAGTCACAGAACACGTGTAAACGCTAGAACCACAAAAGTTAAGTACAAAAATAAGAAAATACCCTTGTATCTGCGCTCTTCTATATAAGTAGAATAGCCGAAGTTTATAAATATTTTTAAGTCTATCCACTTCGAAAAGTTTTAGACATACGAATTTGAAATTTGGCGTGCCTACAAATGTCCGAACTTGTCAGAATTTTTGTTTTTTGTCCGAAGTTTCACCTAAATATATGAAGTTTTTATTTGAAGTTTCATCCAAATGTCTAAAGTTGGCTGCGACTCTGTCTTCGTTCTTCAGCTTCAAGTTTCGATCCAACAACAACAAATTCAGTGTAATTCTACAAGTGAGATTGCGAAAGGGTCGTGTGTATATAGCCCTACCGGCTACCCTTACCTTGTGAAAGAAAGAGACTGTTTCCGATAGACCCTCGGCTCAGATGAAGCATAGTCACCAAGTTTCGATCCAACACTCCCGAAATTAGTCCAAAACGCTTCCAACTTTGAAAAAATGACACTGTATAGCCGTTCTTAAAATAGTAGCTCAAACAAATGTATATTTTCTGTATATATATATATATATATATATATATATATATATATATATATATATATATATATACAAATTTTAATCACTTTTTTAACTACCGAATCAAAATAGTTTCTTGCGCGGGCTAAAAGTGATAAAGCCCCGATTAGTTTCAACAAGTTTTAGCAATACCCAAACAATATTATTCAACAAATTTCGAATTCAACTTTCTTCTTCTTAGATTCAAGTCACAAAAATCAACCAAGGAGTATCATCAATCCAACCAATGAATTTCCAGCTTCAAAACAAAATATAAACTTCCTTATTATGATTTTTCGAAATTCGAATTTCAAATCAGAACTCAAATGTGAGTTTTTCATGGAATTTTATAGTTCTTCTTCAAATAATTTTTTCCCATCCAACCAACGAATTGGTTTTCCCAAAACTCTCCCATTACCCCCCCAAATCAATTTTAGTAAAATCCCGCATAGTAGTGGATTTTAAATATTTTACTATCACTATTCATGAAAATTTAGTCCCACTTCTACAAACTCACTTAGACTATCTCCAACTCTAAAATCAAATTTCACACCAAAATGGTGTAACACCAAATTTACTCCAACAATTATATCATTTTTTACACCAAAAAAGAATATTTCTTTTTATATTCTTCTCTCTCTTCTATATTATATTATTATCTTCTATTTAAATTTTGTTTTTTATTTCCTTCAAACAAATTCTATCTTTTTTCTTTTTTCATATTCATCACATATAATTCACATTCACCACTTATATAATTATTTATTATAAAATTATTTTAAAGGATAAATCAACTAAAAGTGAAATCATTAATAAAAGATAATTAAATAAATATTACATCATAGTCAAATTTAATTTAAGTACCACATAAATATTCAACTTTCGCCTCTATTCTCCCATAAATGCTCGATTAATGCATTGACGATCTAAATCTTCGTGAATTTTTGCGACAAGAACAAAACCGAATAATCGATAAAAGAAGTCAACAATTTCAACAACCACAAGCACATCACAATTTGCTACTCCGTTCTCTCAGTTTTTTAGTAATTTTGGTGCACCTGAAAATGACATACCAGATTACTAAACTTATGTTTTATGTTTTTAATGTAATTTCAATTTTAATGCATCCTCCTTTGATGTACTTTTAATTTTAATGTATTGTTAATTTTTTTTTTAAATTTTAGTTTTCACTTTTCAATTTTAGCAACATTAGATTTCTTACATTTGCAATTTTATTTTTAAATAATGATTATATTTCTTTTTATACAATTATAATAATAATAAAATTAACTTATAATTTTATATAAATATAATATATACAAAAATNCTCTCTCTCTCTCTCTCTCTCTCTCTCTCTCTCTCTCTCTCTCTCTTGAATATCCAATCTATTGGAAGCTATAATAAATATAATACACATATCTAGGTCTTATTATCTTCGTTTACGATTGATCCTTGATTCACTTTGATTGTTCTCACTTATAAGGTATATAGTATCTTTTGAGTCAAACATATACTATACTATGCTAGCGACCATTATTTTCCCAACCAATTAAAATCGGTCGAAAATCGATTAATGTTTATCGATTTCCGACCGATTTCGGTCGTTTTTGGTGGACGATTTTGCACTGTTTTTTAGTAGTGAGAGGAGAAAGAAATGAGTAGCAAATTTTGTCAAAAGTTGTCTGCAGCCTGTTCTCACGTTTGTTATGTCCATTGCCAACAACCTGTTCTTATCTGGTAAAATTTTCCTTGTCTAATTTAAGGACCCGTTTGGCCATAAATTTTGCCAAAACTTATTTGGGTAATTTTTTGGCAAATACTCTCTTATGGCAAAGGTATACACCCTACTTATTATAAATCAAAATTATTTTAAAATATCATTTTCTATAGCTACCTTTTATATTTTATAGCAAAATAAGTATTTATGGTATATACTACCATTGAAGAATGAAATAAAGCATGAAATACGCTATTTATGTTTTTCCTCTCTTAGACAGCTGGACATACTTATTTTTAAGGTGATTGATGTTACTGTATTTATTAATACATGGCGCGAATACATGTGAATACATGCGCATACAACTGGACTGCCCTGATTTTAAGCTCTTTTTATTGCTTATTCATGAATACAGCAGCGCGAATATATGTGAATACATGCGCGTACAGCTGGACTGCCCTGATTTTAGGCACTTTTTGTTGTTGTATTTATGAATACATGGCGTGAATACACGTGAATACATGCGCGTACAGCTGGACTCCCCCTGATTTTAGGCGCTTTTTACTGCTGTATTCATGAATACAGAAGCACGAATACATGTGAATACATGCGCGTGCAACTGGACTGCCCTGATTTTAGGCACTTTTTCCTGCTGTATTCATAAATACATGGCGTGAATATATGTGAATAAATGCGCGTACAGCTGGACTGCCCTGATTTTAGGCACTTTTTGCTGCTGTATTCATAAATACATGGCGCGAATACATGTGAATACATGCGCGTACAGTTGAACTACCCTAATTTTTAGGCGCTTGTTACTGCTGTATTCATGAATACAACAACATGAATACATCGAATACACTACCATAACAATTGAACAGTAGCGATAGGAAGTAATTATGAATATGGTAGTTATAGGAAGTTAATAACCACTAAACAATAGTGGTTTCTGAAAATTCCTCTTGAACTAATTATATTGTAAAAATTATGGTCTCAAATCTAATGCTTGTTGAAAAATTTGGGAAAATGACACGGTACAACCGTTCTTAAAATAATAGCCAAAAAAAAATATATTTTTTTGTATATATATTCTGTATGATATATACAAAAATTATACAAATTTTATACACTTTTCCCGCTACTGAATGTAAATAGTTTCTAGCGCGGGTTAGAAGTAATAATACCCCATCATTTTAGTACGTTTTTACATATAAATCCATATTTCGTGCCAAAAATTATGGGTTCAACTAAAACCGGCTACATCCGCCCCAATTTATACGGGCGATTCAAATAGATAAATCAGAATATGATTGTCTATTGGCATTCATTTTAATGCAAAACTAAGATGTGCCACTTACCAGAACTTTAGTGTCAAGCAAGTACCTTTTTTTTTTCTTCTAATATTGAGAGTGCAATGGTTTTCGCTGGATCCTATTTATAACAGCTATTTCTTTCTTTGGGTTTTAAATTCCTTAGTCATGTTCCATGTCTCAGGAAATAAAAGCTGCTATTTACTCACAAGCAAGTGACGAACTACAAACTTATATAATAAATCACTCTCCAACACTTAGGTTTTTCACAACAAATCCACTCATCAATTTTTGATATAACATTTTTCAAAGCACACAAAGTAGAAGCATAGTATTGAAACACAACAACACGATGTTCAAAGCCAAAGAGCTACACTTTGGCACCAAGCAGTGTCATCAGGAACTTCATGTAATCACCTGACGTGTCACCAATAACTGCATTATCAAGGCTAGTCTTGTTTGCGATGAAATACTCTCCCCTTACTTTCATCATATCAACTTCAGCTCGAGTTACAATGGCTCTAGTTAGAGAATTCTCATCAGTTCCTATCCCGACAATCGAGGCTCTTACAACCTGACAATTCCAGCATAGAAGAGAATACAACGTACAGAAGATTTCAACAACAAGAAGAGAGAATTCTGACAGAATCAGGGAAATAGCATTGCAATTGCACATTGTAGGCCCGAGATATTATAAATGGAAACATATACTGAATAGATTAAATAGTTTTCCTTGCTAGTAGGAGTCTATGCTATTGCAGGAAACTACTGCGCCGAAAACCTTCCTAGAAGGTGCTAAGTTCAGTAGTGGATAGAATTGGCATAGGAGGACTTTGGAAGCTACAGCTTTAGTTATATTTGTTTGGTCCTGTCTCTAGAGCCCAATGAGCAGGATATATATATATATATATATATATATATATATATATATATATATATATATGTGTGGTGTGGTGTGTGTGGGTGCGCTACTTTACTAAATTATCAGATACAATTAAATTAACTGGTTCTTTCAACACAATAAAGATATCGTAGCAAAGTACAGTGAACTAACATAGGAGCTGGCACATTTTTTTAGACTAATTACGCACAAAATTAACCTGTTAATAGCCACAATAACTTGAACAAGCATGAAAGTAATAAAATGGAAGGAATACTTCACCCTGGTTTGGCTGTTTAACATTGCTAATAACGACAGAGAAGAATAAAGATAAGGAGGAGATTTTATATTCTATGGTGCCGATGATAATCTAGTCTAACCAAAATATTGATATGCAATTTAATAGCACTGTCATACTTAAATCAAACATATTGTCTAAAAGATGTGATTCCACGGAGGTAGAAAACAGGAGCATGTGTTTGCCTTAACGTTATTATATTAAGGTAGGGCTGTGCTGATTTTTTGACAGATGATTTGACAGGTAAAAGGGTGTCAAAGCGATAAAAATACTTAAACCAAAATATAAAAGAAAAATGTTTCTTTATTTAGTACCTCAGCAAAATGTTTCTCTGGTGAATCAATGCACCAGATAACCACCTTCAGTATAGATTCCAGCAGACCTTTTCCACAGCTCTTAATGTCCTGTAAAAGAATCATTAAAATAGATAGAATAAATGCATGTACAACAGTACAAGAGACAAAATGAGCAAGCAGAACTAATAAGAAGAAGGTTGCGCAGGCAGCTTGCATTGTAAGAAAAGTGACCTGGTCAATGGAGAATCCATAATTTTGCTTATAGCACTCAAAAGTTGCTCTAAGCTGATGAAAATTCCTTGTGCTGAGTATCATCAGAAAATTATCAGAATCCAACTGTTTTATCCTTATTGCTTCACGAAGGATAGCAGCTTCTGCATTTGCAATACTAGGATCCACCAATTCTTTATCATATCTATAGGACCTGACTAGATCAACAAGAATCTGGCGACATCAAAACAACACATCATTTCAGTGACTTCTATAGAGGTTAGTATGTTTGACCAAAAAATATTGAAACCTTTTTGATTAAATCAATTAATGAAGATGAAGAGGTAAATCTTAGTCAAGCATAATAAACTCCAGATCTATAACCAAATCAGAAAATGATGAATCAGATGAAATAGGGGCGATCAATCTTATTGATGTTTTTCATTTCATCTCCTATCAATCGATGGAGATAATCAGTTTACATAATGTCTGAAAAATCGTTTTATCTTCTTTTTGCTAAGAAGATTACAAAGGAGAGGAAAAAGAGAAAAAGCCCCCCTTTTCTAGGAAGGTTCCCTCCCCATATATAGTCATGGAGTCCTTGCTATGTTCTTGGGTCAATGCTTCTTCATACCACGTCCGTTTTCGTCGTTCCCTGAGTATTGTTCTTCGACTTAGCGGGCACTGTGGGTATGTGGTTTGGAGCAAATCATGACTTCTTTCACCGTCCCGCTGCGTGGGCGGTATCCTAGTTGGGTCGACCACAGTGGTCAGATTTTGACCAATACAGTTAGTCCCTCCGTGTGCCGGGGTAGTCTCTTGTCGGGCCTGGCAGACGGATTATGATTTTTACACATCTAAGAGAAATCTGACCGTCTACCCTTTGGGTATGATTTTTAGATTCAAGTAATGTAACGGCGCTCTTGCGATGCCCTTGGACCGTCACGACCGTTTCGGACTCGAAGCATCGTTTAAAACGTCGTTCGTGGTTGCTGTCATTATGACACACGTTCCGAGGGGATTGAACCGTTTCACGCCCTATCAGCTTCGATTGGCGACTCTTAGGTTTCGTGCTTGAGGAATTTATGTCTCCTATAAATAGAAGGAAAGCACCATTCGATTGACACACTTCTTTGCCCTTACTTGAAAGAACTCTTTGAATCTCCTTTTCTCCTGACACTTCGGGTTTTTGATTTTTTTCGGTTAGCCAGGAACTTTCGTCTTAGTCTCTTCTTTTTTCTTGCATCCCTTTGTTTTATCAAATTGATGCAAATGGCTGGTAATTCTTCCTGTGCTGACAATTCTGCCGCGACTGCGGCGCCGGAAAGTGATGTTCCTGCCCCTGGAGGGGTAGAAGATGAGGGGGTTCCGTCGGCGGCTGAGATCTTGCCTCGCCCTGGGAAACCATGGAACGATTTCCACAGTCCTGCCGGGAGGAGCCGGAACCTGCTTCCTCTGTTATGACTGAGGAGGGGATTGCAGAGTTGAAGGCTAGATGGGGGATTCCTCACCACGTCGAAATGCTGCCGGCAGTGGGAGATGACATTATACATTTCGATCGCTCAGGATATTGTGCGTTCTAAGCTTATCCCTTTATTGTCGGGTATACGCTTCCTCTCCCTCCCTTGGTGGTAGATTTTTGCCGTTTCTACGAGGTGTGTCCGGCTCAGCTTTCGCCGTACTTGTATAAAATGTTCCTTATGCTGCTCAAGTTCGCGGAGCTTGCCGGTCGGGAGGTCACGTTGAGACACATGCTCAATCTCTTTGCTCCTCAACTCATTCGTGGTACGATGATTCATATGTGCCACCGAGGGACGAAGAGTTTGGTGGTGAAGATGGACGACAGAGCCAACCGTCGTTTTTATGAGAACTATTTCTATGTGCGGACCGAACACCTTGTGGCGGATCATACAGGGTTCCCCGAGAAGTGGAACTTCGCACATAAGTTTCTATGCCTTTAGTCGCAGTGATGGTCGACCGATTTTCATTAGGCGGTACTTACATTGTTTTTGTTTTTGCAGCCGTGAGACTACCCCCTGCTCCTGTTGATGATATCCGCGAGTGGGTGAACGCCATCCTTCCTCATACGGCGGGGGTTCGCGCATGGTCGTCCTTCTATGAGAAATATGGACGCAAGCCTCTTACCGGTAAGTAACGTCAGTTTTGTCTTTCGTTCTACTAGTTGATTTTGTTGCTCATACGTCTTTCATCGATGTCATGGAGAGTGCGGAGGGCGAGGGCTCCCCCTCTAGCATTTCGTCAGCCTATATCGTCCGCTCGCCCTGCCTTCGGGTCTACTTCTAGACCTTCGTCGAGGGCCGCTTCAGTTGAGTCTATGGTCGTGGCTGTGCGCACGGAGGCTGCCCCTCGAACGGAGATTCCGACCCCTGCCACCTACCCAACGGGGGAATCTTCCCGTGCCGAAGACGGGGAGGGGCCATCAAAGAGGCGGTGAATGGATTCCGAAACGGCTCCTTCGGCCATGGTATGTTCAGAGGGTGATCTCCCCTTGACGGGGTCCGAGGCGGGCATTGATGCTGTTCTTCCTGCAGAGATAGAGCCAGCCGTTGCGTCCGCCCCATCGACGGAGATCCCGACCGCTATGATTGGCCAACAACCTGCCGCGACGGGGAATCAGAATCCTGAGGCCGTTGTTATTGCTTTGGACGTGCCTTCATCTTCGATGCCGGGTCGTGCTTCTTCTTCGGCCATAGAGAGGGGAAAAAGCGTCATAGTTGATGATTACGAATCCGAGTCTAATATTGATCCTGATGATATCAGGATGTTCGAAGAAGGCCTTACCCGTACGGTGGTACATGCGGGGGCCCCACCCGTATACTTGAAATCCCGTCGGATATTAACCTCCTGGGGGATACGGAAGACCTGGTCCCGCAGTTTGACCTCTTGTGTTCTGCCGCCGAGAGTGAAGCTCTTCGGGACGTCCGTGACATTGATTTGATGCACGAGGTGGCTGCTATGGTCCTGAGGGTAAGTTTTCTCTTCCCTATTGTGTTCTTTTCATCCTTGTCGACCTTGGCCTTAAATCAATTTTTTGTTTTTCAGACGTACATGGTGGAGATTGAGAGTGCTCGTAGGGCCGACACTCGGGCCAAGATTTTTCTGACGATGTTGGAGAAATATCGGCGCTACCGCAACAAGTGCCGTGAGATGCACGAGCGGCTGAGGGCGAATGCAGGTGATCGATCCCTTGGTGAGGAACTGGAGAAGAGGGATCAGGAGCTGATGCAGGCTATTCGCAGGAGTAGCGAGCTTGAGGAGCAACTTCGTGTAAAGGACGAAGAACTCGAGGTGGGCAAGGGAGTTGCCGCAGAGTGTGAGCATTTTCAAGCGAGGTTGCGATCGATGCAGACTGAGTTGGATCAGAATGCCGTCAGGATCGAGGCGATGAGCGCGGAATGGATGGGAAAATTGGCCGAGCTGGAGAGAAAGGTCGCCGGACTGGAGAATATCGAGAGCGCCTGGTCGGCGGCTTTGGCGAGGGCGGCAGCTCTAGAGAACACTATCCGCGTCCTCCAATCCGAGCATGAATCAGAAAGGGCGACAGCCACGCTAAGAGAAGCGAGACTCGAGGAGCGTATTGGTGAGATCGACCGGGAAGCGTCAACCTTGGGGGATCGGGTCGCTGCTCTTGAGGCTGAAAAGGAGCAACTGTTGGCTCAAGTCGAGTCTTGTCCTGCCGCCGTTCCCCGTCATTTGCATGAGCTCTAGGTTCACGCTGAGGCCCAGCGGTACATATATAAGAGTTTGTGGAGGCGGGCAATGTTTTCGAGGCTGCATATGAAGGAGCACGGGCGAAGGCACGAGAGGCTCGTGTTAACTGCGGATATGATCCTGCAACGCCGGTGGCCGACGAGGGACTTCCTGGAGAGGTTGATGAAAAGGGCGGCGGTGATGACGCCGAGTGAAAAAATTGTTGTTTCTGTGTTTATTTTTATTTGTATTCCGTCGATTTTAGCCGTATATAATCAGCGGCTGTTTCTGCAGCAGCTTTATATAAAGAGGAATTTTTCATTGTCGTATACCTCCTGTTCTTTTTGCTTTTCGTAATTTTGGCGCAAAGAGGTAGATTTCCGTGCGGTGAATTCCCGATTCTCAGGGAATTCAATATCACACGGATTGAGTAGGATTTTGGCGACGACTTTAGCTGTAGGGATGGTATTTTCGAACTTATGTCGAAGCATTATCCCGTCACAGTTCGAGTGGTGTCGAGCTCCTTTCTCTAACCCGTCGTGAGTCCTAGTCCTCTTTAGCGATGGCTCTTGGCCTTAAGGGTGTTATTTCGAACTTTTCGAAATGTTAACCCGTCGTTGTTCGATCGAAGTCGAACTCTTCTCTTTGGCGATGGCCCTTGGCCTTAAGGGTGTTATTTCGAACCTGTCGAAATGTTGACCCATCGTTGTTCGACCGAGGTCGAACTCTTCTTTTTGGCGATGGTCCTTGGCCTTAAGGGTGTTATTTCGAACTTGTTGAAATGTTAACCCGTCGTTGTTCGACCGAAGTCGAACTCTTCTTTTTGGCGATGGCCCTTGGCCTTAAGGGTGTTATTTCGAACTTGTCGAAATGTTAACCCGTTGTTGTTCGACCGAAGTCGAACTTTTCTTTTTGGCGATGGCCCTTGGCCTTAAGGGTGTTATTTCGAACTTGTCGAAATGTTAACCCGTCGTCATTCGATCGAGGTCGAACTCTTCTTATTGGCGACAGCCCTTGGCCTTAAGGTGTTATTTCGAACTATTCGAAATGTGAACCCGTCGTTGTTCGATCGAAGTCGAACTCTTCTTTTTGGCGATGGCCCTTGGCCTTAAGGGTGTTATTTCGAACTTGTCGAAATGTTAACCCGTCATTGTTCGACCGAGGTCGTACTTCTTCTTTTTGGCGATGGCCCTTGGCCTTAAGGGTGTTATTTCGAACTTGTCGAAATGTTAACCCGTCGTTGTTCGACCGAAGTCGAACTTTTCTTTTTGGCGATGGCCCTTGGCCTTAAGGGTGTTATTTCGAACTTGTCGAAATGTTAACCCGTCGTTGTTCGATCGAAGTCGAACTCTTCTTTTTCGCGATGGCCCTTGGCCTTAAGGGTGTTATTTCGAACTTGTCGAAATGTTAACCCGTCGTTGTTCGACCGAAGTCGAACTTTTCTTTTTGGCGATGGCCCTTGGCCTTAAGGGTGTTATTTCGAACTTGTCGAAATGTTATCCCGTCGTTGTTCGACCGAAGTCAAACTTTTCTTTTTGGCGATGGCCCTTGGCCTTAAGGGTGTTATTTCGAACTTGTTGAAATGTTATCCCGTCGTTGTTCGACCGAAGTCGAACTTTTCTTTTTGGCGATGGCCCTTGGCCTTACGGGTGTTATTTCGAACTTGTCGAAATGTTAACCCGTTGTTTTCGACCGAAGTCGAACTCTTCTTTTTGGCGATGGCCCTTGGCCTTAAGGGTGTTATTTCGAACTTGTCGAAATGTTAACCCGTCGTTAGTCCCAGTCTTCGAGAGAGTTTTGCGTGTCTTCTGGGGGAGTCCCAGTTTTTTGCTCAACTCGTGTGTTTCCTTGGTGAGTCCCAGTTTGCTTAATTTGTTTGCATTGGGGAGTGTGATGTCGGGGAGTACTGAACGTTGCTATCCTGCCAATGCTTGCTTTATCCGTGTATTGGGGTCTCCCTGTTAAACCCCCCCCCCCCTGTTATTCGGCCTGGAGAGCTCGCCAGTGGGCGGGGCGATAGACTGTCCTTTGTGCTTCGGTGATGCCCCCCTTGCTGCCTCGTTCAAGACCTCCTCGAGAGAACCCGAGTGGGACAAAACCCGGGTGAGGGGAAGGGAGTGCGACCGTAGAGGACGTCATTTTCCAGAGGTTGACGTGTTTGAGATGGGCGATATTCAGGATATTTTGTAATAGTTCTACTCTCTAGTTGGGATGCTCCTCTGCTCGCTCGCCCATGCGGCGCTTGTGTTCCTGTTTAAGCGAACAACAGAAGGTGAACCAAGATGAGATTTTCCTTACCTCAGTCCGATGGGTCGATGGACGAGGGTAGCCTCATAGTGCTGTTCGCTCTCCCTGACGTTTAAGTGGTTGATGGGATGGTGGTTTGTGGGTTCGGCAGCCGCGTTTGGCCTTCTTTTCTTCCTCTCCTTTTCTTTTAAACATGCCCTGGTTCTGCGTGGGTTGGGTTTGTCTTAGCTCGTTCGTGGATCATTCGGTGCGTGGGACACCCCTTAAGATGCGCCCATCCTCTTGCGGGATTTGCACAACCGGCGCCATCTTCTTTTGCAAGCTTTGCGTGGACATTGGTTGTAACTTCTGCTTCTATGCAGCATCATGCTTTGGATTAGCGCGTGAGGTTTACTTACCACTTTCTTCGGTGGATGATTATGGGCTTCGATCTGAAGGAGACTAGGAATTTTGACTAAGAAATCCCCACAGACGGCGCCAAATTGTTTGACCAAAAGATATTGAAACCTTTTTGATTAAATCAATTAATGAAGATGAAGAGGTAAATCTTAGTCAAGCATAATAAACTCCAGATCTATAACCAAATCAGAAAATGATGAATCAGATGAAATAGGGGCGATCAATCTTATTGATGTTTTTCATTTCATCTCTTATCAATCGATGGAGATAATCAGTTTACATAATGTCTGAAAAATCGTTTTATCTTCTTTTTGCTAAGAAAATTACAGAGGAGAGGAAAAAGAGAAAAAGTCCCCTTTTTCTAGGAAGGTTCCCACCCCATATATAGTCATGGAGTCCTTGCTATGTTCTTGGGTCAATGCTTCTTCATACCACATCCGTTTTTGTCGTTCCCTGAGTATTTTTCTTCGACTTAGCGGGCACTGTGGGTATGTGGTTTGGAGCAAATCATGACGTCTTTCACCGTCTCGCCGCTTGGGCGGGATCCCAGTTGGGTCGACCACAGTGGTCAGATTTTGACCAATACATAGTAACACAGTAATGCATCATCGCAAGCAATCATCATAAAGCGTGCTATTTAAACTGATAATGAATCATCAGCTAGGTAAGATATCTTCAGTACTCTACATGCATCCTACCAGATCTACTGTAAGACAATTATGATTTCATAGTATCTTTAGATATTTCGAAGGAGGTTGGTTAAAAAGGTTGTATCCTTAGGACTAGATGTGACTAGAAGTGACCATACGTACCTTTCGTACAGGCATAGGGACATTTGCTGTGATATCTTCTTCAAATGAACAGTTGAAAAGGCCACAATATGCTTGTCTCACAGCGACCAGATGATTAGGAGATGATGCACAGGCTATCTCTACTATCACTTGTAACTGAGTGATGGTTTTCTTTCTTGACTTTAAGGCTTCATTTGCTAGTCGTGCATCTCTTTCAGAAGGGTCATATGTCCACAGGATTACAGCATTCTATCACACACATGAAAAGCTAAAATTAGCACTTGAAAACTTGGGTATATAACCAAGCTCAAATAGAGACTGAGCATATATATTATAGTTCTATCAAAAGTATTGTGTATATAAGTGCCACATCTACCTGCAAAAAAATCGACCAGTCTAAAAGGTATGACACACGCAACTTTATTTCGAGCACTCAATCAGGTCAGTGCTGACGATATTTAGAAATGAATTTAAAAAATATCCCCAATAAACTAAGAATCTCTCAGTCTCACGCATATATTGCTGCCTCCACTTAGGACTAACCTATAAGAAACAACTTAAAGGAGTAGGAGAAGCAAGAACAGTCATTGATACTAGGTATTTTAATATGAAAAGAACAATTTATACCCATATAAGGACTACAAGTTTCAGTAAAATGGCAACTTGTATAAAAAGTCAATCTAAAGTTCCATAACTGGCAATTTTTACTAGCACCAGATTTAAGGCCTAAGATCAATAGTAATGAATATTCTGGAACAAATGGATGTTCATTCTATTATAATTATGCGCACACACTTTGCACCAGGTTAATTCTAGAAAATCAAGGAAACAAAACACTATTCAACTTTATAAATTAGAAGTAATGAAAATTTGCATAACTTTGCAGATTCACAACATTCCAAATTTAACATTCTACTGAACCAATGCTATCAAATTGAAAGCCAATTATCGAAGTGAGCAAATAATTAGGTCCTAACAATGTAAGAGAAGAGATTGTACCCTGAAATCACCAGATAATTCAGCAAAAATGTCATCGACAAGAGACCTGTTGTAAAGCTGCTGATAGGTTTCTCTGATCTTCTTCCTCTGGCTTGCATTTCTGTGCCCCAACACCGATATCACTGATTTCTCATTAGTTCCCAGTCCTACACAAAACCACTAACCTAATCTCTGTCTTTTATATCAATTAACAAAAAAATAAAACAACTAATCTCTTTCTGTTCCAGTTTAAAAAAAAAACTTCCTTTTGTTTTCCCCAATCAAGTTGCTACTAGGAGTAGTAATTTTTGTACATATAACAACCAAAATTGCAACTAGCAGATTATATTTGCATTAATCAAAGAAAAGTAAATAAAGTAACAAAAAGGAAGGAAATTAGGAGAGACCTTTGAAGGCTTTCACGAGAGTTTCACAGTCTTCAGTAGGAGAAGGAACAACATCTGGTATTCTCACTGTACCCATTTCTTCTCTTCTTCACCCAGAAAATTGCAACTTTTCCTTTTCTGTTTCTAACCCTTTCCTTCAGTTATTTTTGTTTCTAACGCTTTCAGTTATTTTTCCCTCTCCTTCATGAAAGAGAAGGGGGGGCAAAACCGGAAATAAAGACTTTGTAGCTCCCTGCCCGTAATGCCCTTATCTTTCGTTTGGACTTTAATACCCCCACATTGATTTTCACTTACTCCAAACTTCTGCACTTCTCCTTTGTACGCGTGCCCTTTTTTTTTTTTTTTTTTTTTTAATTCGATCAATTGCAAGAATGATATCAAAAAACATTTTTTAATTTTTTTTTTTTTCGAAATATAGTGACTATTCGATCTGAGCTGAAGGGGATGCTACAACTCCATGCTCAACAGTTTCAAAAATGACATTCTATATTACTTTACTATCATTATAATAATAATAAAGTAATATAGAATGTCATTTTTGAAACTGTTTAAGGGATAACTGTCAGCTCCATGTATTTTTTTAATTCACTAGCCTGAGTAATTTTAATTCGCATTATGTATAATTCATTAAAGGGGGAACGTTCCTTATTATGAATAGTTTTTTCATTTTAAAGGTTCGAATTCAAAATTTTTGATTAAGAGAAGAGAGATCGCATCAGTCGCTGCTCAATGTTATTTCAGCTATCTTCTAGTATTATTTCCATTTTGCCCAGATATCACCGGGTGAGCATATCGTTTTCTTATCAGCCAAAAGTTTGGAGTTCATTTGTTGGCTTCTTGACGTAAAATGTTCTTTAATACTCTGTTGGTAAGAGAATTTCACCTGAAATAGTGTGAATGATTTGAATATTACACTTGAAAAGGAGAAAGAAAAATAGATTATTGTATTACATAAACAACTTTAGCATGGAGTGCGATATCATGATGAAGAGATAAGCTATTCTCCGATTTCTTTATATTGTTTAGTAATCATCTATTACCTTGATACTCACTATTCGGATTAACAATTTGAATTCGTGCCGCGTGAAGTTATTCAATGGGAAACCGCTCCCTATCAAGAATTCTCTATTCTTTGAACTCGAACCTGAAACCACTAATTAAGAGTGAAGAGATCTCATCCACATCACCACATTTCAAGGTGTATTCTCCTATTTCATTGCAAGTTCCATTCACACGTATTCAGTATTCTTGGGCCTAATCAACAATCATATGCTGATTTTCTAGTTCTTACAAATGTATTTATTCCCTGTTTCGCCTAATTAGGTACCTAAATTATCAAATAACTAGTAAATTATTTGAATCGACCAAATACTTCATAAACTGTTCGATAGTCGAACCTTATTATAACTTTTACTCTTAAATCAGTACAAATGTTCGATAAATAAGTCACACTAGAAACTTATAATTAATACCAAATTTTACTTAAACAGTATACACGTAATATCAGGTCAAAGCTAGATGTATATGAATATTAAAGAAAACAAAGAAAAAGTATATTGTCTCGCCTAACGCGTTCTTGTTGTTAATTGAAGGGGCATATACATGACGGAACGTGTCGAGTAACAATATAATATTGACAGAAATTAGACGGATAAATTTTATAACTAAATAGAAAAATTTATCGCTAATTCCATTTAGCAGTGGATTAGCAACAAATTATTAATAAAATTTGTTACCTACTAGCAATTTAGCGACGAAGTTCGCAGTGAAGTCTTTTTTTTTTTTTTGTGAGTAATAACATGCATTGTTGTGCCACAATTTGGGATTGCACCTAACACGACTTTGACTAATGATAGAATAGACATAATTACAATATTAATCTGAACACAACGTGCTTAACAGTTAACAAACACATTGAGCAAAATCCTTCTAGTTGACTTCAAAGCACCATACGCGAGGAAAACAAATCAAATAATAATAATTGTTAAGGAGGGAGCAAGCAATCGAATTGATTACATGTCACTTGTACATATGATTGGACAAATAAATAACTGAATGCTGGGATAGGGCAAATCAAGCTTAGCTGTATAGAATCATGGAAATAGATACCGAACATTATCGATCTGTTCCACAAAGTCACTTATAATTTTAATTAAATAATTTCTAGATCAACTTAGGAAAATTCTTAGAAGTTCTTAATAAATAAAAATCTATGAGTTCAAGAATTACCTGAAGCTACATACTACCAACCAACCAAATAGTTATAATGTAACTTTGACTTATTATATACCTAAATCAGCGAAATTAGGTCAATTATAAACCGAGAATAACAAAAACTATGATAATAGTATAAGATAATTTTGTTTTGTTACCCAACTAATTTTGATTTGAATTACGTAGGATCCAAGAATGAAAACAACACTCCTACCAATTTTTTTCAATTATTTAATTGTCAAATTCGAAGCCTCTAGTTAAGAATGGAGTGATCTCATCTACCGACCATATATCTTTGTTGTATAAGACAATATAACTTTTTATAAATGGAAACAAGCTAACCTTAAATCTTGATCCACCTTTTTCTCATGGAGTCGTTTAATTCATTATAGGAAACTTACTGGAATATTCAAAGAGGAAACATAGGTCATAAATAAAATGGAAACCAACGATAAATATTTATTTTTCTTTCTTTTCTCTTGCTGCATCTCTTCACATGGCATTAAGCACCACAAGATATGGTCAATCTGATTATTTCACACCTGTCTCATTTTATAATATTTTCTCTTTTACTTTTTATGTAAATTTTCTAATTTTAGTGATCCAAAGACTGGACGACTGGACGTACGTGCCGATTACTTGTTGTTCAGATAATTAATTATTTGATGAAGTCTTGCTATTCATATTTGTAATTGTAATATTCAATTAATTAGTGACCCCCCCCCCCCCCCCCCCCCCCAAATTAAATCTCACGCCAAACTAAATTTTTTTCTTCATCTTTAGTTTTACAAAAGATCTCCAGAAGCTGTCTTGGACATGGTTTAATTTCCATTTTTGAAACATGGCATAGGGAAAAACAACCATATTAAATAAGTAGTACATGATTTCGTAGAGGCATGGATATTTTGGTAACGGTTGGAATAATGTGGATGTGAATAAATATGATATGAGATTTTCAAATTTAAAAAGTGGGAAGACATTATGTCAATTAAATATTACATTGAGCTCAAACACACAAATTAAAAATCGTTACCGTATTCTCATTTTTTTAGAGACATAAAGCGTGTGTGCATATGTAAATTTTTAAGATAAAAATAATCTATTCTGAATCAATTGTTCTAAATTATAAATCCGTCTCGATTACTATATGAGTTTTTTACTTTCAGCTTGTCACTTTGCTTTTATAAATATATCAAGCGTTTGTTGATGAATTCATTGAGATCCCAAGATACATCGTAATGGAGAAAGAAATGAAATTGATATAACTTGATCGAAAAATGCTATTTAATGGGGAAAAAACAAAAAAAAGAAACGTTTCTTACTCTATCAAAATAAGTTATAACAGCTAAAGTAAGTTACAACCTAGATTTTGCTTCGATTAGTTATAAACCGCTGGTATTGGTAAGTAGATGCCTAAACTACACAAATTATGTTAGACATCTTTATTAATTACTAGGAAAAAATAAATAAGGACGTGCAAGGCCCATGGTACATAAAGAATTAAAAGCAGATTGTCGAGCATTTATTAAACATTAAATTAAGAAGATATCATAAAGATTTAATTTAATTAAACAAGTACTTAACGACATTTGACTTTTATTTGTTTAATAACACGAGGCGTTACAAGCTGTAGTTTGATGAACAGGGGAAGAAGCAGGAATTGAATGGCCACGTCTTTATAATTTTATATTCTTTACTTTAATATTAGTTATTGTACCGAGGGCTACGTTGGTCTTTTCTAATTTGGTCAAACTTGTATAACCGGCTTTCCTAATCGAAATGACAGAAGTACCCCTAATAACCCATATAAATATAGTTCGAATTGAATCACAAATCCCACCTCTTAAACTCTCTCTTCTCTCTCAAAAATCAAACACAGAGAAATTACCCAAAGAAAATGTCAGAGGCTAATGCATACGCAGCTCTCACCAAGGCTTTCTCAGGTTATTTTCCATTTCTTCTTCTAAAACTGGAATTGTTACAGTTTATAAGAGTTAAATAGTAGAAGATTTTACCTTCCTTCAATATAATATTTTTGTTTACACAAAATTGTAGGACTTGGTGTGGATGAAAATTTATTCATCTCAACACTGGGAAAATGGAATCGGCATCAGAGGGAAATCTATAGGGTTAGCACCCCTGGATTCTTCAAAGAAGATGAACGCCAATTCCAGAGATGGGACGATCACCATATCCTACAGCTTCGCCAAGAATTTTTGCGTCTTAAGGTACATTTATATTTTTATTTTAATTATTCGTAAGAACTTTGTGAAATCCTATGTAAAAATATGATAATACATTAAGGAATCTATATGTTTTAAAGTTACAGAATTTTGATAGTGAAATATATTTTTATTGTAATTTTGTAGGATGCAGTGGTAATATATACAATGCACCCATGGGAAAGAGATGGTCGTTTGTTTAAGGAGGCATTGTTATTGAAAGTACCTCAACTTAATGTTCTAATTGAGACTGCTTGTACTAGATCTTCTGAAGAGCTTTTGGGAGCAAGAAGAGCCTATCATTCCCTTTTTGACCACTCAATTGAGGAAGACATTGCTCACCGTATCCAAAATCCTGAAAGAAAGGTCTTTTTTTTATTTTTTTTTATTTATATAAATTGATAGTATATAAAAAGAATTTGCCCATTTAATTTCTCATAACATGTGTTCATGATCGTTCGTGTCTACTTTTAAATTCGAGGATGAGAGCTTGCCAATAATACTGTTAATTGGGCTTGAGATGTGGATCCTTGGGCTACGTACATTTATTCTAAGATTTCATATTGTCCATAAAAATGGGTAAAAAAGCACGTGCTAGCCAGTTTTCGGACTGGTCATTCAAAAATAGCCAGCGTTTGCAAAGTCATTGAAAAATAGCCACTATTTTTCTGCAACACGGAAAGTTCCAGCATAATATACTGGAGATCGGTGCACTTGTGTATGAACTTCCAGCATATTATACTGGAACTCCAACACACGGAAAGTTCCAATATAATATGCTGGACCGGTATATTATACTGGAGTATTTTTCCGGATTTTGAACAATGTTTTCGTTCAGATTTATCTTTACATGAAAAGTGGCTAAATTTCGATTACTTTTGAATGGCTATTTTTGTATGACCACTTGTAAATCTGGCTATTTTTGAATTCCTTCCTAAAAAAGGAGGAAAGATATAATTTTATGTGGTAACTCCATCTACTTAAAATTGACGGACCTATAATTTTTTTAGTTATACTAGATCTAATTCTATTTATTTTTTGGCCGAAAGTTTCTAGTCTTCTCATTCTCATTGTTTTTATCATTGTTATTATTATAATTATTATTTTCATATGTATGTTTGATTAATATTATGACTGCAATATTTGGAAAGGTTTTTCCATTAATAACGTACCATTTTGTTATGACAAACAGCTTCTAGTAGCTCTAGTGACTTCTCACCGTTATGAAGGGCCAAGAGTAAACGACGATCTTGCAAAATCTGAGGCTAAGGTATTTGTGAATGCACTAAAAGATGCTAAGAAGAATCTCGTTGAAGATGATGAGATTATGAGGATCCTTTCACACAGAAGCAAGCTTCATCTTAAGGCTCTCTATAATCACTACAAGGAAATGACTGGCAACTACCTGGACGAGGTAAGAATACAAAATAAAAGAAATTTAACTTTTGTATATGTTATACTATCAGATTAAGATGACCTATAATAATCGGTATATCTTATAGTTGCCTTAATTTGATATCCTATAAAAGGACAAATACCTCTACCCAGAAAAGAAAAGAAAAAAAAATCCTTAGTTAACCGCAACGAACCCCCCCAAAACCCCCCCCCCCCCCCCCCTAAAAAAAAAAAAAAAGGAAACAAGAAAGGAAAAAGAAATAATCCAAAAATTTATTTAATCCCACAAAACTTATAGATATAATGTATTGACCTATGACAATGTATATATATAGGGTGTTAAAAAGGATTTAATATCTAATACATAAATCGTTAGGAGAAGAATTAATTTGTGACTTTTCATCAATGTATGACTAGTGTCAATTTTTTTCTTCAGGATCTTGATGGTGAATTGACCTTGAAACAAGTTGTTCAATGCCTTTGTTTACCTCAAACCTACTTCAGCAACGTAAGTAGCAATAACAAAACTGATCTTGTATTTCTCACATTTTTGCTTGAACTATTTTGGTATTGTTTTTCCTCTCATTTTCAACTTCTTATTCCATAGATATTGATCGCGTCCTTAAGATTGGATGTGGATGAATCTGCTAAAGACTCAGCCACTCGAGTGATAGTTACAAGAGCAGATGTTGATATGAAGCAAATCAAAGAAGAATTCCACAGCAAATATGGAACCACCTTACCTGCAAAGATTGAAGAAGTTGCTAATGGAAGCTACAAGGATTTCTTGCTTACTATAATTTCAAAATCTGACTAATTAATGTTGGCCAGATTTTGGCATTATCCAAATTTTCCATCAATTGTTGCATGTTCTCAGATGCTTGTTTTGCCCTCTGCTTTAATTTGTTTTGAAGTCCTTTGCTCAATACATGTATGATTTCAATGTTTCCATTTCAAATAAACAATTTTAATATCATATTTTTCAGCTTCCTAATTCAACTTATCTTCTAGTATATCTTTTTGTGTTGTATTAATTTTAAAAATAATGGAGCTCTTGTAAGAAAAATCAGTAGATAATATTGACCAATAACAAGAAGGAAACAAGAACAACTTATCGAAAAATACTGTGTCGTGGCAAGCCACCACCTTGAAAGCAATTTCGGCCCGACTGGGTGCAAATCGTTAAGACCGGTCGCTTCCCAAGGTTCCATAGCACCTCCAAACACGTGCACTCATGGATGAAAGTTTGAAATTTGCACAAAACAATTGCCAGAAAAGAAGAGAAGATGAAGGTATTTTCTGTGTTGGATAATTCACAAAGAAGACTGCCTTTGGTAGGCAAAGCTGTTGGACAGTTGCAGATGAAGAAATTAATTTGTAGCTGTTACAGAAATTAAAAATGGAGCTGTTATAAAAATTAACTACAGCTGTTACAAAAGTTAAACACAAATGTTACAAAAATTAAAGCATGGCAGTTACAAAGAAATAAATGGGAGGTTACAAAATTCAATTCAAAGAGAATGAATTTGGACATATTCTGGTAAGCTCAAAAAATGAAGAAATAATTTTAGCAAAATCAGATTTGAATTGGGCCTCACGTATATCTCGCATGCGGGGGGGGGGGGGGGGGGGTTTTGGACAAATCGACCTGTTTTGCCTTCAGGATCAATTTCTTATGTGCGCGAGACCACTCCCTTTACTAGCTTTTTACAAGCCCAACAAAGAGTAATTCAATATAAAGAGAAGAAAGAAACTTTCCACAATAGATGAGGGGCATTTTGTCTTTCACAAAAGACAAAGAAGTAAAGAAGGAAAACTATAAAAAAAATCTTTGACTTTGCATTACCAAAGATAAATAATACCAACAATCCCCCACTAATGCAAAGGAAAAATAGAATAAGAGCCATTTCTGGGCAAAAGAAGAAATATGTACTTAAGTGTCAATATCTTTCGATTTGAATTGACATGTTGTGAAATATGGCAACAACTAACATCCACAAAGTGAAGTACTCTTGAATTGAATGAACATTACTTGAGACCCCTACAACATATACTATATCCTTAATTTTATGCAAACCCCGTAATACTAATAAAGTGCTTTTATGGTCATGCACATACCTTGGGTCTCATGAGTGATCTAGAAAGACATCCCAAGTCTTCAATAAAAGGCGACAACACATTTACACTCACGTAGGTGATTCCATCAGGTCTATTTACACATAGACCACAAAATCCTTCTAAAATAGTAGAAAATTTATTAAAATGCAACACCAATCCATAGTACCTCTCAAATACCTTAACAAACGAAGAAGAGCATTCCAGTGTTCACTACTGGGGTTGTGAGTATATCTACTCAATCTACTAACAGCATAAGCAATATCAGGTCGTGTATAATTCACGAGAAATATTACACTACCAATTATCTAAGCATATTCAGTTTGATAAATATCGTATTCCTTATTATTTCTCAAGTGTATGCTAGGATCATACGGAGTTCTCACAGGTGCTACATCAAAACAATAAAACCTTTTCAACATTTTCTCAATATAATGAGACTGAGATAACGAAATACCATTAGAAGTTTAATCCCTAAAATCACACCTGCTTCTCCAAGATCTTTCATTTCAAGTGTAGAAGACAAAAAATTCTTAGTCTCATTAACAATATTCACATTAAGGGCAAAGATTAACATGTCATCCACATACAGACATACAATCACACAATCTGATCCAATCGTTTATGAATAAATACAAGTATCAGATGCATTAACAACAAAATCATTACCCGCTAATGTGCTATTAAACTTTTCATACCATTGCTTAAGTGCCTGCTTTAGACCATAGAGAGACTTTCTCAATTTGCATACTTTATTCTCCTGTACTTGGATCACAAATCTCTCAGGTTGAGATATATAGATCTCTTCCTCTAAATCACCATTTAGGAAAGCCGTTTTAACATCCATTTGATGTATCACTGAATTATGAATAGCGGCTAAAGCAACAAGAGTTCTAATAGTCGCTATCTTAGTCACGAGAAAATAAGTGTCAAGTAATCAATGCCTTTCTTTTGGTTAAAACCCCTATTAACAAGTCCAGCCTTATATTTCTCAATTGTACCATCAGGTTTCAATTTCTTCTTAAATATCCACTTGCTAACTTATGGGTTTACAACCTTTAAGCAAATCAAACAAGTCCCAAGTGTGATTAGAAATTATAGAGTCTAATTCACTTTTAATGGCCTCTTTCCAAAAACTAGCATCTATTGACCTCATTGCTTTATTATAAGTCTTAGGGTCTTCTTCTATTAAATAGATTGACACTAATTCATCACTCAAAATATCAAGATCAATATTTCTAGTCAAGAAAGTAGTGATAAAGTCAGGATCAAAGCTAGCTTCAATTCTACGTCTCTTACTCCTTCTAAGTTTTCATGCTCATTAGCAGTAACATTAGAAGAAGGCACAATATGAGAATTAACGGACATAGATGTAGAAGCATTATTAGGCACATCACTAGGCAAATTATTTTTTAATAGAAAAACATGCTAAAAAAATTCTGCATCTCTAGATTCACAAATAGAACTATCATTCAAAGACATAAATCTATACGCAATACTATTTTGAGCATAACCAATAAAAATAACATCAAAAGTCTTGGGTCCAATAGTTACTTGTTTAAAATCAGGTAGACCAACCTTAGCCAAACACCGCCACACTTTTAGAATTTTCAAGTTAGGGGCAAACCCTTTCCATAACTCATACGAGGTTTTATCTAACTTCTTATGAGGGACTTTATTAAGAACATAGCATGCGGATAAAATAGTTTCCCTCCACATATTATCAGATAAACCTGAACTCAAAAGCATAGAATTCATCTTTTTCTTAAGGGTTATATTTTTTCGCTCGGCTATACCATTTTGTTGGGGAGTATAGGGAGCACTAACCTCGTGTATAATACCACTTTTCTCACAAAAAGCTTCTAGAGTATTAGTACTATATTCACCACCCCTGTCAAACCTAAGTCACTTGATTTTTCTGTCTAATTAATTTTCTACTTCTGCCTTGTATTTCAAAAACATGCTTTCAGCCTCATCTTTTGACTTAAGAAGATATACCTTAGTGTATCAAGAAAAGTCATCTACAAAAGTGATGCAGTATTTCTTTCTACCCTTACTAATAGTGTTCTTGAAATCTGCTAAGTCTGAATGCACTAGTTCAAGCAATTCTGTCTTTCTACTGGTTACATTCTTAAAAGGCTTTTTGGTATGTTTTGCCTCTATACAAACAGGACACTTAGAAAAAGTTACAACATTAATTTCAGGAATTAATTCCATCTTTATAAGTATTTTAATAGAGCCAATATTAACATGACCTACTCTACCATGCCACAAATCAATAGACTCAGTAGTATAAGCAGAATTGAAAGACTAGCATTATTAGTGATCTCTTGAGCGATTTTCAGTATAAATAAACCCCCACTAAGGTAACCCTTCCCTACAAAGTTCCCCCTCCCCACGAGAAATAACAACTTTATCAGATTCAAAAACAAGTTCAACACATGCTTTGTTGAGAAGTGCACCAGAAATTAAGTTTCTACGAAGGGAGGGTACATACAAAACATTGTTCAAGGCTAAGGTTTTTATAGAAGTTAACTTAAGGAGAACTTTTCCTTTATCTAAAACTCCAGCAGTAGTGGAGTTACACAAGTAAACACACTCTCCATCAGCAGATTCCTCAAAGTCGTGAAATAACTCCTTATTGGCGCAAAAGTGTCTTGAAGCGCCTGTGTCCAGTATCCAGTCAGTCTTGTTAGCCACCATGTTTGCCTCAACGACCACAGTAGTAATGATATCATCACCCTCAGTAAGGTTAGTTTGGACTAGAGCTTTTCCTCCATGCTTTGAGCTTTGTCCTTGTCTCTGGTTGCACTGAAAAGCCTTGTGACCAATTTTGCCGCAGACATAGCAAGGTCCTTTCGACTTTTGAATATGACATTCCAGTTTATTGAAGTAATTCTGCTTCTTCACATGTCCTTACTTCTGGCATTTCTTCTGTTTTCCTTAAAACATGTCTTTCACAAAAGTACTAGAAGATTCCACAAGGTTAGCTTTAGAAGAATTAAGAGAGAGAGCGAGAGAGATTTAATCTTATCCTTAGCCATTCAGGCTCCTCATCTTTGAGAGGTTTGCTTCCCCAGTCCTCATGTAACTAATCAGTTCTTGAAGAGTTAAGTTTTTCTTCTTGTGTTTTAATTGATTCCTGTAATCACTCCAGGAAGGTAGAAACTTTTCAAGCATAACATTAGCCTGAAAAATCTCGCACATCTCCATGTCTTCGTTCAAAGCATCAGCAGTCAAGTTCTCATACTCGTGAACCTGCTCCATGATTGGTTTATCATCAACCATATGAAACTTGATCCACTTTCCAACCACATACATTTTTTCCCATATCATTTGTACCATATTTCTTTTCCAAACTGTCCCATATGACTTTAGCAGATTTATAATTTATAAACAAATCAAAGAGAGGGTTAGTCATATGGTTAAGCAGATTCCCTCGGACAGTTTTATTATCCTTTTCAAATTTCTTCTTAGAATCATCATCAGCAACAACAGAAGTAGTAGTAGTATTAGAACTATCAGCAACAACATAGTAGGAGGTTCGTTAAACAAAACGTAGTCAACTTCTAATTGTTCAAAGAAAATTAAAAGTTTTTGAGACCAACGCTTATAATTGTTTCCATCTAAAGGCCCAAGCTTTGACAGGTGAGGAAGTGTTTTGTTCAAAGTGGTAGCCATTAGTCAATATTATACAAAATCGCTTTCAAATTGTAAGAAAAATCAGTAGATAATATTGACCAAGAACAATAAGGAAACAAGAACAACTTATCAAAAAATATTGTGTCGTGGCAAGCCATTACCTTGAAAGCGATTTCGGCCCGACTGGTGCAAATCATTAAGACCGGTCGCTCCGCAAGGTTCAACAACACCTCCAAACA